AGCCCAATAAACTCTTCTGTAAATTGCCTTGGTCACAAGTCCATAATTGAGGAAAGTCAGGACAGAAACCTGGAGGCAGGAACTGAAGCAGAGCTATGGAAGAGGGCTGCTTATTGGCTTGTTCCTGATGGTTTGCTTAGGTTGCCTTCGTACAGCACTCAGGACTACCATCCAGGCATGACACCACCCACAGTGAGCTGTTTCCTCCCACATCAACAATCACTCAAGAAAATGCACCACAGCCTTTCCCACAGGTCAATCTGGTAGAGGCATTTTCTCAGTTGAGGGTCCAGCTTCCCAAATGAATCTAGCTTGTATCAAGTTAACATAAAAATCTCCAACACAATATAAACCAAATTCTGGAATGATCTGTTTTTCACTGCTGTTGAGCCTGAAAATCTCCAAGTTCTAGGGATGCACATGATACTCATAGTTGCATTTCTCCAGTGGGGTAATTAATAATCAAAGGCCTAGAAAACACAGAGATAGTCCTCTGCATGTACTCATCTCAGTACTTTGAACACTTCCCATACTTTCATACTCGGGAGGCACCCTTACCTAAAATATTAGTCACCCAAGGGTGCAGTGTGGAGAGTCTTATGAGGGTGGGAGACTCTGCCCAGCACTCCAAAGGCAAACCTAAGTGTGTCCACCAGAGATCAGAATATGCAAAGAAGGAAAATATAATAACAAGCAAGTATGAAACCCTAATAAATCCCCTAACAAAATAAAGTCCAGGGCCTGAAAGTTTTATTACTGAATGCTACCAAATCTTCAAAGAAAAGCTAAAACCAGATTTCCTCTAAAATCTGGAAAGAGACAAGAGTGCCCAATCTCTTCACTTTTATTCTAAAGCTCCTCACTGTTCCATAAAATAGAAAGGGAAGGAACACCAAACTCATCCCAAACAGTAAGCATAACCCTGATACCAAATCAGACAAGGATTCAAGAAAGAAAACTGTGGACCAGTTTCTCTGATGGACATAGATACAGAAGTTTTTAACATATTTGCTTTAAAGAACACGTTCAGACCATACACTATAACCAAGTTTTATTTTCTGTTGGATACTCACATGTGCAAATCAAAAAGCATAATTCAGCACATAAGTAGACTTAGGGAGAAAAATTACATGATCATCTCAGTCAATACAGAAAGGCCTTTGACAAAGTCCATCATTCTTTAGGAAACATACATCAGAGAAACTACAGCCTCTTTAACAGAGTTCTAGAAGACTGAAACTTGATCCGCATCTCTCACTCTGCATAAGAATCAATTTAGGATGGATCAAAGGCCTTAGTGTAAAAACTGAAACTTTGAAATTTCTAGAAGAAAGCATAAATTAGACCCTTAAGTATGTCAGTACCTTAGTCGGTGTTCTATTGCTGTGAAGACACCACGACCAAGGCAACTCTTTTTTTTTTTTTTTTTGGTTTTTGGTTTTTTGAGACAGGGTTTCTCTGTGTAACTTTGCACCTTTCCTGGAGCTCGCTCTGTAGACCAGGCTGGCCTCAAACTCACAAAGATCTGATCCGCCTGGCTCTGCCTCCCAAGTGCTGGGATTAGAGGCATGCGCCACCACCGCCCGGCAAGGCAACTCTTATAAAAGAAAACATTTAATTGGGGCTGGCTCACAGTTTCAGAAGTTTAGTTCATTGCCATCATGCCAGGCGTCATGGTAGCATGCAAGCAGGCACTGGAGCAGTAGCTGAGAGCTACCGTCTGATCTGTAGGCAGGAAGAGAGAGAGAGAGAGAGAGAGAGAGAGAGAGAGAGAGAGAGAGAGAGAGAGAGAGAGAGAGAGAGTAGGCCTCCCATTGACACATTTCCTCCAACAAGGCCACATCTCCTAATCCTTCTCAAATGGTGCCCCTCCCTGATGTCTAAACATTCAAATATGTGCCTTTGGGGGTCATTCTTATTCAAACCACCACAGTTGTATAGGAAGGGATTTCCTAACCAGAACTCTAATAGCACAGAAAATAATTCAAAAAAGGAAAAGAAAAAAGAAAAGGAGTAAAAATAAAAATAAAAAAGAGGGCAGTGATGGCGCAAGCATTTGATCCCAGCACTCAAGAGGCAGAAGAAGCAGATCTCTGTGAGTTCAAGGCCACCCTGGTCTACAAAGCAAGTTCCAGGACAGCCAGGGCTACATGGCAGCTCACAACTGTCTGTAACTCCAGGATCCAACACCCTCACACAACATACATACAGGCAAAATACCAATAAAAAATAATAAAATAAATAAAAAAGAGTGAATGAAGTTAAGAAGCTTCTCCACAGCAAAGAGAACAATCACTAAAGAGACAACAGGAGAAACAGTTTTACCAACTGCCCATCAGGCAGGGGATTAGTACCCGTAACACATAGAGAACTGCAAAAATTAAACACCCAAAACCCCACAAACCACCCAATCAATAAACAGGCTAAAGGGCTGAATGGTCATTCTGAAGAGAAGAAATTTAAATGGCAAATTAAGAAGTACTCAGCTTATTCAGCCATCAGAGAGACTCAAGTTAAAATGCTGTGGGACTCCATCTCACCCCCGTCAGAATGGTCACCATCAAGACAGCAAGTGACAAATACTGGTGAGGATGTGGACTTGTAAACCTGAAGAACCAATCTAGTTCCACATGGTTTTTTGTTTTGTTTGGTTTGGTTTGGTTGAAGAGCCCAGGAATATGAAAAAATTGTATGCTTATAATCTATATGCATATTTCTGAGTGTATTAGGACTGATAGCCAGTCTGGCCCTTTGCCCTGCATTCTCCCAGACAAGGGAAAGGCAATTTAAATGACCCCATGGCTATGTAAACATTTTTAACTAACACCTTGTCATCAGAAGTCATAAATCCCGGATCCCCCTTAGATCTCAGACAGCCTGGAGAGCGCCACCATAAAACCCCTGGTTCAAGTCTCAAGATGCCGAGATGTACCCTAAATCCTGAGATGCTGTAAATCTCCTAGCTCCAGCTCAGGACAACACTCCTGAGATGCTGAAACACCAAGACGCTGTAAATACCATTATGTACTTCCTGCCCTGTGTATAACCTTTGACTATAAAAAGAAGCTTATAGCCCTTTCTCTGAGGGTCACAGAACCAAATAATTCTGTGGCCCTAACTAGTTAGAAGCCCCCTCACCATCCCATGTTTGTGAATGAAGTTGATTCTAGTTAATAGACTTCAGTGGTCTGCTCCCCGTTTAATTGCGCTATTCCAGGACCTAACAGTGGTGAGCTATGCATTACAAAACTTATCCTCTTAGCCATTTTTAAGTATGTCTTTCAGAGATGCTAAGTATATTTATAATAGTGTACCATTATCAGCACTACCCAGGTCCAGAACTCATCTTACCAAGCTGAAATTCTGTCCCACTAAGAAATTCCACATCACACCATCCCCCAGCCTGGAAACCACCATGGTGTTTTCTGTCCCTCTAAATGTGTTCTCCAAGGTAGCCCATGTAGATGGAATCACACGGGCCCTGTCATCTTATGACTGGTTTCTCCACTTAGGCAATGTCCTCAAGGCTTGCCCATGTTATCACAGGCGTCAGAAGTCCCTTCCTGGTAGAGGCGGAATGGATTGTATGTATATGCCCCATTTTGCTTACACATGCACACACTTGCTTGATGCTGTTGTGAACACAAATGTGCAAATATTTCTTCAGTACGCTGTGTCTGGGGCTAGAGAGATGGCTCATCGGTTAAAAGCACTTCCTGCTTTCACAGAAGACCTGAGTTTGGTTCCCAGCACCCACCCACAGGGGCTCAAAGCTGTCTGTAACTCCAGTACCCGGGGATCCAGTATGTGTCTAGTGGCCCCACATATATGCAGGCAAACACTCAAACACATACAATAAGTGAATCTTCTCAAAAATGCACTGTGTCTTAGTCCCTTTGTGTTGCTGTAACAAAATACCTTCTTTTGGATTGGACTAATTTGTAATGGACTGATTTTATTTTCACAGTCTGCGGGCTGAGGAGCCCAAGCTCCTCTTGCTATATCTTCACACGCAGAAGGCAGAAGACAGAAGGCACAGAGAGGTCTCCCCAGCTCTTCCAGCCCTCTCATAAGATAATTAACCCTGTTCATGAGGACTCCAGCCTCAGGGCTAGTCACTTTCTTTTTTGTTTTTTGTTTTTTTGTTTTGTTTTGTTTTGTTTTTGTTTTTGTTTTGTTTTGCTGGGTTTTTGAGACAGAGTTTCTCTGTGTAGCTTTTGGAGCCTTTCCTGGAACTCACTTTGTAGACCAGGCTGGCCTCGAACTCACAGAGATCCACCTGACTGTGCCTCCCTGGCATTAAAGGTGTGCGCCACCACCACGGCCCGGCCCCTAGTCACTTTCTAATACTGTCTCATTCAGTGTGTGATACAAGGTTTCAGAGTGTAAGGAACTCAACATTCCCTGAGTCAGCCAGACACAGTCACCCAGCATTATCAGGAGGTATATATGAAGTGAAAATTATGAATGTAGGGTGTCAGCATTGACATATAAAGTCTATTATCTTTACATGAGCAAGTATTTTAAGGTTTATCAAAAGTGACTCTCCTTTATGTCAACTCAGGGATTTCTCTCTTTTTATTCCTCCTGCCATGTCATATCTGCCATTCCCTAGCCTTCCCCAGCCTCCTCTAATCCAGGGTTTATGACATAAAAATTATTAAATTAATTCAAATGCTATGTTTACAGAAATAGTATTTTCTAAGATATAGATAGATGACACACACTCACAAAATCATGTATTTGGAATACTTTAAATATCATATGACATTACCACATCCGTAGACGACAACTCTTTCTGTTCCTATTATCATTTGAAGCCAAGTTTACTATATTTTAAAAGTAGCACTTGTCTAAAATAAACCAGGAAAGAGATTAATGCTGAAAATGTTTTTACAAAATTTCTGGAAATCTTTCCCACCAAATGGAGGGAAAGTATACTTGTAGAAACTTAGTATTTACCAGCTCCATGCCTGTGACACGGACTGTTCCACACTCACCTCCCCTCCATGAGGAATGAGCCAAACTCTGCATGTTCAGGAACACCGTGGCTCTTCCCAGCAGCCCGGCCAGCATAGCGGATGTAGGGGTCTGGCTGACTGGGCTTGTAGTTTCCTGTAGTGGGTCTGACTGTCAGCAGCCGTCCAGGGTCTGAGCACGTGGGAACAGACACAGCCGATGTCTGGCGGAGCTCGACCTCCAGCGCGGCTGAGGGCAGCCTGATGTCTTTATTCTCTAGGTGCATGTCCCCTCACGGGTCTTTCTAGGTCAAACAGAAAGAAGCCACTCACTGTTGCTGAAAAGCAGACTCCGTACAATCAGAGGGTACTTAGAACATAGCCCTTCTAGTGGCCTCACACAAGAGAGAGCGTGTGGTTGTCTGCAAGGCTGACATCTCAGTACATTTCATACATTCTAGAATAGAACACAATACATTTTTCAAGTATGCAATTTTTTATTTTAATTTTTTTCATACAATATATTTTGATCATTTTGTTTTCCTCTCCCCCAGTTTCTTCAGATCCTTCCCCTCTTTCTACCCACCCAACTTCATGGTCTTTCTTCCTCAAAAAACAAAGCAAAAAACAATTTAAAAAAATGCTCTCTCACACACACACACACACACACACACACACACACACTGCCATGAAGTCCGTTTTGTGTGGGCCAGCTACTCCTGGGCATGTGCCCTGCCCTGGAGTGTTGGTGATACCCCCAGTACCACGCCATTGGAGAAAACTGATCTTCCTCTTTCAGCAGTTGTCAGATGCAAACAGCTTCTTGGTCAGGAGTGGGACTTTGTGTCCACTTCCTCTTCTCAGTGCTTGGATTTAGAATACATTTTAAGATGTGCATAGTATGAAATACGGTGAGGCCACAAAAATTATGAGGAGGGATGTTCAGTGATATTGGTAAATATTAAGGATATATAGGGGTCTGGAGAGATGGTTCAGTGGTTAAGAGCACTGGCTGCTCTTCCAGAGGACCAGGGTTCAATCCCAGCAACCACGTAGCAGCTCACAACTGTCTGTAACTCCAGTTGCAAGTGATCCGACACCCTCACACAGACATACATGCAGGCAAAACACCAATGCACAGAAAATAAAAATAAATAAATAACTTTTAAAAACAAGATTTTTTAAAAAAAATTAAAGGAAAGAATATATAAAAGACAACCTATGATTTGTGATAGTCCTTTTGAAACAAACATGTATAGATTATTTGTACAGAGCATCAAAGCAAACAGACAAGTCCTTCAAAGCATGGCTACCTCTGACTAGGGCTTTAACGTCTTTCTTTCTTTGTGCTATGGTGGTTACAATTTTTGCTCCTAATTGCATTAAGAAAGTAATAATTGTTGCTATAAAGATAGAAAATGTACTGTAACTACCATTGGGGCTGTATTTTAAACCATTTGCTACTTTTATTTTTCGCATTTTATAGCATCAAATAACTCAAGCAATGATTGGCTTTATGGCAACCTGATTTGCTGTCAACCATTTCTGTGAAACCAAGGATTTCTGTGTACCTTGGTCGAGTGAGTTTTATAATGATGAGACACAAAGTTTGTGCTTCTGGTAGAGTGAACGTAGTGTGTCTTCCACTACTCCTAGTTGCCAGGTTCATCTGCAGCATCCACAATACACTTTGAGACAGGATTCCTGTGGATCCACACTGAGTAGGGTTCAACAAGACTCAAAACAAGCACGGGACAAGTGTGTTACATCTACAACTACATAGGCTGGTGTTACACTTTCAATTTAGAATGTCTGCAAACCACCACACGTGAAAGGCTTGGTCTTCAAGCCATGTGCTACTGGGAAAAGGGAGCACCTTGTAGAGATAAGGCTAGTGAGGGTCTTCAGGTCACTGGGGGCACATGCCTTTGAAGAGGGCCATGGTGCCCCAAGCTCCTCCTTTCTCTTGCCCTTCCTGACCATGAGATGAGGGGATTTTTCTACCATGTGTATATACACTACCACAACCCGAAAGTGATGGTGTCAGCCCATCATAGACTTACACCTGTGAGACTTTGAGCCAAAATAAACCTTTTCTCTCCGTAATATGTTTACCTTAGACATTTTGCTAACACAACTGGACACACACCTAGTGGAGTGAGAATTTGTGTCAAATATGAAAAGATATTGGCATTGAAAGATGCCTACATGTTTTGTACCCTGCTTTGGCTAGCCATGTTTGATAAAAATGACTTGTAAATCAATATGACAGACAGCGCTGGTAGAATACACTTGTATCAAAACATGAAATAAAAAAGCAGTTGAGTTTGATTCTTCCAGGGCTTTCCTCCTGGTAAGAACAAACCACATGTGTGCATGCATGTTACAAAACATCAGTCATGTGATTAGTTGATTCCACAGACAAAAATAGGCTTCGGTATTTAAGTTTAAAACTGGCATTATAATATACAAAGATGACTAATAAAACCTAATTTTTCATTACTGAGGATAATGGCATTAAACAGCAATTTTGAAACATCATAAATAGCTAGGCATAGTGGTTCACATCTATAATTCTAGGAACTGGGAGGCAGAAGCAGAAGGATTACAAGGAGTTTGAAGCCAGGCCAGCCTAGGCCTGTTTTTAAAGGTAAATAAAAATAAAACCTAAAACAATGGAAAATATGCCATGACAGGTTAAGAGAGAGCGACTAGGGATAAAGGAAAGCTTTATTTTAGTCTTATTGATGGCAGTTTTCCCTGACATTTTATCAAAAGGTTCCACAATGATGTGATCAGCCCTGATTCAAGAGCATTATCTTCTGCTAGCACTAAATACTCCCGTCCTTTTAGAACATTCCATGAAGATAGGCTTGGGCCTAAATACCTGAATCTCCAACCCCAAATTCACATACTGTTATCCTCCTGCATGTGACAGTGTTAGGAGATGATCTTTGGAGAGGGATCGGGGTCTAATGTTAAGATACAGTCTTTGGCGAGGGATTGGGCTCTAGTGTATTGTCTTTTGAGGAGGATTGGGGGATCCAAGGAGGAAGGAGGTTATGAGAATGGAATCTTCATGAATTGGATCAGTGTCTTTCTAAGAGCCTTCAGAGTTTGCTTCTCTCTTGATGTGTGAGGACACTGAGTGAAGATTCCATATGAGAACCAGGAGTTGAATCTGCATACACCTTGATCTTAGACTGCCTAGCTTCCTAAACTCTGGAAAATAATGTTTGTTGTTCAAGCCACCCAGAAGTTGTTATTTTGTCCCTTGAATAAATAGAACATGGTTTAGCCACACAAGAGAACAATGATAATAAATATGCTCTGGGGATCCACAGAACAAAATATAATTCAACAGCAAGAGAATGCTGTAGGGACACCTGCCAGACTATGGAGGAAACTGTAGAGATTATATTCAGTGAAGGAAGTCAGTCAACGAAAGGCCGTATATTGCCTAGCTTCGTGTAAGTGCAAAACATTCCAAATAGACAAATCTACAGGGACATCAGGTCAGTGGGTCACAGAAAAGCAGGGAATCTCTGCTATAGGCTTTCGGATACTGATAGCTTCCTTAGCTTTGGGATTGGTAGAAGCTAGTGATCTATTAATGCCTTCTAAAGTGAAGACCTTTAGAATGCATTAGTTAAAAGATGCTGCATTAGATACAGAAAGTAGACCCTAAAGGTGGAGACTAAAGATAGCCCAATATAATCTGACTCTGGATTGGCACCATTTCAGCCCTCCACAATCACAAAGTTCTAGTCAATCATTCACATAGAATATTCAGCATATGTGCAGCTTCTTTTCTGAGAGCACCAGGTCCCGCCCATGTCACCCAGCAATTGTCCTCCTGAACATCTATCTCAACATTTATAGACATGTCAGCCAAAATGGGAAAGAATTGAGGTCCCTCAGTGTGTTCATGTTTAAGTGAGGGGGTACATCCATATCACAGGAAGCCCCTGGACACAGCAAAATGTATGAATTTACAAAGTGGGAACTCAGACTGAAAAAAACAAATCTCAGAAGGCCACATACTATATGGTTCCATGTGTCAGCATCCTTGAGATGACAACAGGATAGATGGGGAGAGCAGATCAGTACACCTGCCGCTGAGCAGGGATGGGAGTGTAGGCCAGGACCATGCAAGGGTTAAGATGGACCCTGATCGCATCAATGTCTGTGTCCTGGTTGTGATGTCCCACTATAACTCTTGCAAGCTTTTAGCACTGAAAGACAATGGGTTCAGGCCACATGGGTTCTCTCTGGATTATTTCTTATGAGTGTATGGCACTCTTTAGCCTACAACCTCTGCTCAGCTTGTCTCCTCCTGCACAGATCTTCTCTAGGCTGCCAGATTCTTTTCTCCTCCACTCCACTCAAGCCTTCTTCCTCCAGGCTTCTGCCCTCCCACCTTGATGGCTGATACTCCTGTGAGAGTCACTGCTAACTCCTGAGGTCCACATCACTCTCAGACTCCCAGAAGCTACCCCACACCTGCTGAGGTTTGGCCTCATGGTGCTTCTCTGGGGTTTCTAGCTCTTCTTTAGGTACTGGCTCCTCCTGCTCTTCTTGGCTTCACTTCAAGCCCAGCAGCCTCCCCAAGAGACCCCACTGCAGCTTCCAATATCAGTCACCTGATGGAGATGGAGACAGTCTCCAAGCACAGCCTGGCCCTGAGCCCAGTCGTCTCCAATGGACACACCCAACACCCTGACTCAACACTGCATGACCCTGCCATTGCTTGCCCACTTCCTGTGGTCTTCTTGAGGGGCACTGCAGGCATTGCTCACCTAAACACATGTTTTAGCTAGTTCTTCCAAACACATTCTAAATCCAGATGTTCCCATCTGGGCCTCATCTGTTACACTGGAACACCCCAGTCCTATCTTGTCCTCGGGGAATCCAACCCACGACTGGTCTTCTTGAGAACTTCCATACTACCACCATGGCCTGGCCTCTGGAGTCACACTGCCACCCTAGCACCAGTCCATCCTTGTGGGAGGGAGGGCTCCAACCCCCTCAGTTCATAGTGTGAGCACTGCCTTGTGTTCACAGCCTCAGCTTGGCTGAACCCTACTGGGCACCATGAACCTGCCCTGCCAGGAGCATGTAATATTCACCCTGAAGACTTCATATGTGAGGACATGGCCTTGTACCCCAGGCTGGCCACAGACAGCTCTTTCTCAGCAAAACTTACACCAAAAATAACTTAATCATCCTTGTATTTTAAGGAAAACAAAGAGATTCCATGGCTTTTTTGAAAAGAAAATAACAAATG